CAAAAATAATCTCAAAATGGATAAAGGGCTTAAACGTAAGATGGGAAACTATAAAAATCTTAGAGGAATCCACAGGTAGCAAAATCTCAGATATATGCCAAAGCAATTTTTTCACTGATACAGCTCCTAGGACAATGGAAACTAAAGAGAAAATAAACACTACATCTAAACAAAAAGCTTCTGTACAGCAAAAGAAACCATCAACAAAACAACAAGAAAGCCCACTGCATGGCAGAACATATTTGCCAATGTTATCTCCAATAAGAGTTTAATCTCCAACATTTATAGGGAACTCATACAACTTAGCAAAAGGAAGATAAACAACCCAAACAAAAAATGGGAAATGGAGCTATTTTAGAATCTTTTCAAAAGAAGACAGAAGGAAGGACAAGAGATATATGAAAATATGCTCAAAGTCACTAATAATCCTAGAGATGCATATCAAAATGACAATATGGTACAATCTCACACCTGTCAGAATGGCAATCATCAAAAAATCAAAAAATTGCAAGTGCTGTGAGGATGCAAAGAAAAGGAAACCGTCATGCACTGCTAGTGGGAATGCAGACTGGTGCAGGCACTGTGGGGAATAGTATGGAAATTCCTAAACAAAAAAAAAGACAAAAAACTAAAAATGGAACTCCCATTTGACCCAGTAATTCCACTTCTAGGAATATATCCCAAGAAACTAGAAACACCAATAAGAAAAGAATATATACACCACTGTGTTCATAGCAGCACAGTTAACCATAGCTAAGATTTGGAAACAGCCTAAGTGCCCATCAGCAGATGAGTGGATTAAAAAAACTGTAGAATACTACACTGCTATTAAAAGAAAGGGACTCCTACCATTTGCAACAGCATGGATGAACCTTGAGAACATTATGCTAAGCGAAATAAGTCAGTTGGAGAAAGATAAATATTACATGATCTCACTCATTTATGGAATATAATGAATAACATAAACTGATGAACAAAAACAGATCCAGAGACAGAGAATCATTGATCAGACTGTCAGACCTCAGAAGGAAGGCCTGGAAGGGGAAGGTTAGGAGGAGAGATCAACCAAAGGACGTGTATGCACGATATAAGCCTAACCAATGGACACAGAGGGGTGAGGTAATGAGTGGAGGGGTGGGGTAAGGGGTCATGGGGGTATAAGGACACTGTGTAATACCTTAATCAATAAAGAAAAGAAAAAAAAAACCATGACTCAGGCTTCCCTGGAATTATATAATCTTTAGAAAACTGGAGGGAGACCAGCATGGCACTCATCCCATTATTATGAGATCAGAGGAACCCAACCCCCTTTCCCCACCGCAGCAAAAGCCCTGGCTAGTTTTGAGAGTCCTGGAAGAGGAAATTGGACCAGGAACCACATCATGATAGAACCAAATCAGAGGCCTCAGCCACTTGCCTACTTCAAACCTGGAGCCACCCAGACTCAGTTATAAAACGAGTGACGTGCCATGGTGAGAACCAGAAGCTCGGTCCAAGTGATAAAGGTATATGCTCACAAATAACCATAAGAGATACCAAAATACTTCAATATTTTTTTGCTGTAGTTTTGGCAAAAGTTAATGGAATGATGATGGGGAAAGGGGGAATACCACTTAATTTCAAAGACGGATTCCAATGAGCTCTGATCCATTAGTAGAGCATATTAGAAATGGGTTTTCATTCTTTCTACTCAGCTTCTCAGTTTGAGATTTGCAAAAAAAAACTGATCCACTTGTGAGGACTAGTTGAAAATGTGTGAACTTGTCTATGAAACAGAATTTAATGATGTAAAATGAAAGAACAAATGTATCTTTCAGCAAGGAGATTTGGTGTAGAAGCTGTACTTCAGAACTGAAATATTTATAACATCTCTTGACACTCCTGAAAAATTTATAGCAGGTGAGAAGTCAATTATTACATAAGCAGCATAACAAGATTTATGATAGCTCCAATTCAGCTCTTTTCAAGAAATATTTACTACTTTGTGGCAGACCCTGAGTAAAGGGATGTAAGATACAGAAGATGGGTCAGACATGTCCCTTCCGGCAGTTTCCACAGCTAGGGTGGAAATGGGCCAAGGATGACGGGGTTCAGAATAAGGAGAGGTCACTTCTGTCTGGGGGGACAGGGCACAATCAGAGATGATTTCACTGTGGAATTCACATGCTAGTTACACCTCAGAAGATACGTGGGAAGGTGAGCCAGATAAATGAAGAAGAAAGGTGTAACAGAAGAAAGCAGGCAGGGTGGGGAAGTGCACAAAGTACCGGGCAGTTAGCATGGACTTGAGCACAGATTCTGACTGAGCAAGGCCAAAAAGAAAAAGAAAACCCAGGCATAAACAGGCTGTTTAGGCTATTGTCCTTTCTATTATTTTCAGGGGAGATGGATTAATAATTTTTTAAAATATATTTTATTGATTTTATACAGAGAGGAAGAGAAAGGGACAGAGAGCTAGAAACATCCATGAGAGAGAATCATCGATCAGCTGCCTCGTGCACACCCCGCACCAGGGATGTGCCCACAACCAAGGTACATGCCCTTGACTGGAATCGAACCTGGGACCTTTCAGTCCGTAGGCCAATGTTCTATCCACTGAGCCAAACCAGTTTCGGCTGGATTAATGATTTTTAAGTGAAGGGATGATGGAAGCTGTGCTTTGGGAAGACCAGCAGCATGGTGGTGGGTGCCCACGTGGAGTGCTGCCATTCCCCAGCCTTCGGAATTGGGTTTGGCGTTTTTGTTTGTTCCATGACTGTGGGGACACTGCTGGAATTCCACGGTGGAGGTCAGAGATGCAGACACCCTGCAATGTGCAAGAGTCCTGGAGACTGAAGATCCACCCCAACCACAATACCAAGTACCCTGTGGGGAGACACTGGGAGACGAAGGAAAGACTGGAGCTGAGAAGGCCAATCAGGAGATGACAGAAATAATCCCAGCAGCAGTGACTGATCTGAGCCAGGGTGGTAAGGAGGGCGAAGAAGAGAAGAGCAGATATAACAGAGCTTAGAGAAGGAGGCAATAGAAGCAAGAGGTCCTACTGGACATAGGATATGTGAAGAAGAATACCAAACAAAGCTCTGAGCCTCAGTAACAGAAACAATTTAGATTCATAAAAACTCAAAAATCAAAACATTAAACATTGCATAGGCATAATTTTCTCTGGGATCTGCCACTCCTCACGTGAGAATATTAAATACACACACACACACACACACACACACACACACATACCACCTTGCCTCCTCCTGTAGTTATGCCTCTGATCATTGTTTTATACATCCCGTGGCACTTTACTGGTGAGGGGCCAGGCCCTCTCTACCTGTGTCAGTTTTTGTGTCGGTGCATGGTGCTGGCACACAGCAGACGCTCCGAGATACAGTTTTCCGCTCTATCAAGTGAAAACTACGTAGACGTGATGGTCAGTATTCTCAAAGTCCCAGTGCCCTCTCCCAGTCATCTAGCATCTTCCTGGTTGTGGAAGTGTGACCTGGCTGTATCTTCATTGCTTTGACAGTCTAATGAAAGAATTTTTATTAGATAGTCACAGGCTCTGAGCAAGAGAGAAGGAAAGGATAAGTGAGGAGTGAGAGAGCCAGGAGCACAGTGAGGAGCAGGAGCTGGTTTCTGTGGCTGCAGAGGAACTTATGGAATCCACAGACGTCAGGTGACAGGTATCAGTGAGAAGGGAAAGCACTAACATGTCACAAGACACCTGGAGTAGTTCACTTTCCTAAATCATGAACATCAAATTCATCATGCTCAAGAAATTCTTTACAAGAAATAATGATTGAAAATGTTTCTGTTTTCCCAGTTGGAGTTCTTTTTCTTGCCCAGCAGGCTTTCAAAATGAAGAACTTACTAGTAGAAGGGCAGAGATAATTTTTTTAAAGTTAAATTGAAGTGCATAATGTTTAATTACCTCATCAGTTTCTCTCTAAGGGTTAAGTTGTATCTATTGAGAATATATGCATTGCTATATTTGCTGCAACTCAGATATTGCAAACTCACACGGAAAGAAACCTCCATTTTTCTCAAAAGATTAAACATAGAGTTACCGCTAATCCTAGTTATGTACTCAAGATAAATGAAAATAAATGTCTAAACAAAAACTTGTAGAAAAATATTCATAGCAGCATTATTCGTAATGGCCAAAAAAGTGGAAATGACCCAAATGTCTGTCAATGAATGAATGGGTGAATAAAATGTGGTATATCCATACAATTAAATATTATTTAACAATAAAAATGAAGTATTGATACATGGTGCAACAGAGATGAGCTTAAAAACTTGCAAATGAGAGAAGCCAATTATTTAAAAACCCACATATTGCATAATAATATTTATATGAAATTTCCAGCATAGGCAAATCTTTAGAGACAGATCTAGATTGGCAGTTGCATAGGGCTGAGAGGATTCAAGGGTAAGTTGAATGACTACAAGTGAATACAGTTTCTGTTTTGGGGGGTGATAATGTCTTGAAATATACTGTGACAACGGCTGCACAATTCTGAAAATATTCTAAAAATCAATTAATTGTATGCTTTAACTGGGTGAATTACATAGTATATGAGTTCTCTCTTGATTTAGTTGTTTTTTATCACACGAAAGTATTTCCTTAACCTGAGATGAGAGCAGAAAAGATTGTCATGCTTTTTTAAAATAGTTCATTTTCGTTTCCACTTCCGCAAAAAACAAGTGCATTGTAGTTCTAAATAGCTTTCCCGTTTCATTGTCTTTATAGACTCGCACATGCTCAAACATCAGGAGGCATTGGCGGATGGAGGAAGGAAAGGAAGGAAAGGAAGGAAAGGAAGGAAAGGAAGGAAAGGAAGAAAAGGGAGGGAGGGAGGGAGGGAGGGAGGGAGGGAGGGAGGGAGGGAGGGAGGGAGGGAGGGAGGGAGGGAGGGAGGGAGGGAGGGAGGGAGGGAGGGAGGAAGGCCCAGCAAAGCTCTGAGAAGGCTCTTTGGGAGGGTCCTAAGGAAAGGCATACTCACTGGAAGCCCCTGGGGTCCTCGGGGTCCCACCTCTCCTGGCGGCCCCTGTTGGCCCTGTTATGAGGAAGCAGGTAGAGAAAAAGTTAACATCCCCTAGTACCTTGTTTAGTGATTATAGCAGGTTACAATGTGTGGGAAGAACTTATGGCATCTTACCGGTTTGCCTGAATTCCCCAATTGGCCAGGTTTCCCTGGAGCGCCCGTGTTACCCTAAAGGTAAAATGCAGCGTAATTCAGACAGTAAGTAAGCATAATCAACCAACTGTCTCACCCAGCCCGGTGATGTCTTACACTTCAACAGCATTCATTTCTCGGTTTTACACTGAGAATGTGGGAGGTTGTACAGTCTCCTTCTTGGTGGATACATCACAGTTCTTCAGATGCAGGATAATGTTTTGTTATACCCAGGAGTATAGGAAAGTGTCAAAAATGCCCAAAAAAGTGAATGTCAAATGTTTTTACCTGACAAGAATATGAGAGGATTCTTCTTTATTTACTATATTAACTATATATGTCTTCCCTCTACCATTTTCACCTCCAGTATACCTCTTGGAGCCCTTTTACCTGACACTGACATTATTCAAATTATAAACAATTATGTCAACATGAGGAAATATGAGAGAATGTGCTGTTGAGAATCCCTCCCAGCAAGCTCCAGGGAAGGCACCGGTCTGGGGACACCATCTCCCCATCCATCTCTCACCATCCACTTTCAAGGCACGTCTCTGGTCAGCACACTATGGACCAATATGATTGGAGGGCTGTAGCCATGTGATCTAATAGTACCCAATTTCTACATTATTCTATTATATTTATCTATTTTTTCTTTCACCTATTAAAAATAATACATGAATATAAGCACTAATCGATCAGTATGTGGACAAAAAATGCCTAACATCTTTTTCAGTGTAAGCTTAACCATCATAATAATATTCTCTGGCATAATTTGTATGGCTTAATAATGTCTTCTTGTGTTATTTGTGTAAAACTTTTACTAGAGTAACCCTTCCTCCATTTTACACTAGCAAAAGATGATGCTGACTAGAAGGAAATCTGATCAACAACACTTTGTCAGAGTATTCTTTCCACAGCTGGCAAAGAGATTAGCATTTGAAAACTTAAAGCTTTTTAAATTTCTTCTTCATGTCAAATATAAAATAAAAGGCAGGTTGTAAATATTTAAAATGATAACTAAATATGTTAATAAAGTAAAGAACTTTAAAAAGGCATTAATTGAAAAGGCTCACTCTTTTACCTTTTCACCCGCAGTACCCTTTGCACCAGGAATTCCAGGCACACCCTAAAAGAATGCAGGCAGAGCACAGTTTTATTCATCTTATCTGAGAATCCGGGACTTGCCAAGCCTACTGCACACTGCCCAGGGACTGAGGGAATCATGACAACCTCAAAGATTTGGCGGGAGAAAGATTCTCCTAGTTCTCCAACTCTGAAGAATTTAGAAGGTATGTCTTTACTGTATCTGGCTTGTTAAATCTGAACACCCATAAAGCAAAGCCTACCTCCACCCTAGTTATTTTTGAACTTAACATTTTGTCAAGGGGAGCTTTTATAGGCATGATTTCATGTACTGAGCAACAAAACAAGGACTGATGGGGGGGAGGGGGGAATTAAGCTTAAGTTAAAGAAAGAATGGCAGGAGAATGCTGGGTCTAATTAAGATTTGATACTATTGGGAGTCCTAATATTCTCTGGTTATCTTTAAAGTGTCAGAAAATAAATTTGAGGCCAGTTCTCTGTATGACCAACTATTTCTTATTAACTTGAAACATTTGCTTCCAAAGAGCCAAGAACACACATGGTATAATCCACATGGAATTCTAGCCACATTAATGCAGGGAAACACCAATTTGAATAATTCAAAATAGCACATACTCAGAAATGATATCTTATGTCTCACATTGTTTTTGAGCTTACCCTCAAGAACAATGTGCGACATAACAACTGTCTTACAGCTCAACCCTGCTAACAAAAACTTCAGAACTGGTTAAAAGTAGGAGAAAGCATGTGACCCTGGCCCCCAGCTAAGGTTAGGAAAAAGATATAGAGAAGATTGAGTGAACTAAAGAGGGATGCAAAATGTAAAATTAAAGCTTATTATGTTATTAGAAAAAGAACTAGCTACTCAGAGAAAAAGTACAAAAATGTAAATATTTAAAAAAAAAAGATAAAAGATAAATTAAAGCATCATATCTTTCCCCAGGCCTTAGCAATTTACTTAATATGTTTCTCCCCCAAAATTCATATCTATGCATGTAAATCACTATATGTATATAAACCAATAGGCATTTAAAAAGCTAAGTACTCACAGGTAACCCCTGCAGTCCTGCATCCCCAGGAGGCCCAGGTTTCCCTGGTTCACCCTGCAGGGTGGAAAAAAAGGTTTTTATTGCATCTTTGAACTTGTCTCAACTGCTGTATTGCTTTTAAGAAAGGAAGGACTCAGCGTGAAAGGATTATCCCCACAGCTGACCTTACCTGCACTTTCATAATGTGACCTAATAAAGGGCAGAGGTTGGGGTGGGATAAGACTTTGGATATAAATCAAAATACACAATTGTATATTCAATCAAAATATACAATTTCCTTCAGCCTACTTGCATCAATGGGACTAAGTTCCTGCCACCAAGCAAATAAGCATTCCATTCTAATAAGCACTTTGAATGGACACTGGATTTAAAAATTAAAAGGAGGAAAGAAGTCAAAACCAGTAACATAGTAATGGAAACGCTACGCCTGGCTGGCCAGGGTAGTGATGGTTATTCGCTCTTGGACTGAGTCACACAGCTACCTTTGTTCCGGGTATTCCAGGGATCCCGTCATGGCCGTCCACGCCTGGCAAGCCCTAAGGACACACAAAGAAGCACATTCTTCTCCCCTTCGTTATTTTTTTAAAGTTTTATTTTGAGTTAATAATTGCTTAGAAAAATGTGCTCGATGACTACTGCTCAAGACATACCGTGTCTCCTTTGGTCCCAGGGAGGCCAGGAATTCCTCTAGAACCTGGAGCCCCCTGCAGGGCAAAAGGGAAAGGATAGACAAATCGTGCTCAATTATCACCACGCTTAGGACATGGCAAAGAGGTGAGCATAGTCAGCGGAGGACACTAGAAATCATGCTGTTTGCAGTGACGAACACTCCTTTGAACTCACTCTGTCTCCCTTGGGACCTGCTTCTCCTGGAGGTCCTCGCTGTCCTTGATCACCCTGTGTGAAAACAAAATGTTGTTACTAAAAGCGAAAGTTACTTATCGATAGACTTTTGAAATTATAAGATACCATCCACCTTACTTCTGCCATCCCAATAGCTTTAGCTCAAGAAATCTTTTTCTTAAAAAATCGTGTCTTAAAAATTGATTTTCCATCGGAATCATCAAGACTTACTTATCTTTTACTTTCATTTTAAGTGCATATGCTTCTTTGCTTTTTGGATGTATAGGTGAAATAAAATGAAGGTCCATGTTGCAAGTAACTTTGACACTGTAACTATGTGTACATATCAGCTACTCCCATTGATTATCCTGGTGGGTTAAGGTTTGGATTCACTGCCAAGCTTTTCTCCATATTATTTCATTCCCTGGTTAATAATAATGGTTTCTATAAAAATTATCAAGCTCCTGTTGATATATGGTATAGGTGGCAACAGATGGGGGATGTGTTTTCCTAAAATACAGCTTTTGTTGGATTGTTTACCTCCTCTAAAACCTCAAATGGCTTCCTATTGCTACTGGATCAGTTCCTCTTGCTAAGATTGGCATGAAACACTCTCCACAAGGTGGTTCTGCCTTATCTATGCGATGTCATCTTCTCAGCATAAACTTTCCACTCCAGACAGTGGCAGTGTCTGCGACAGCAACCCCATCCATTCAAGGTGCTTCCTCTCAGTTGTACTCTGCTGCTCTCCAGGCCAAGCCTCCTCTGAGGGCCTCTTGCTTGGATTATCTTTACCACATGCGCTAGTGTTTGACCTTATAATGAATGGTTTAGTTACATTCTGCCTTTCACACTGCACCATAGGACCTTGATAGTTGGAAATTCTATCTTACTTATACCTTTTCTACTCTCTATGTGTATAGTTTATCATTAATGAATGGCTTCCTAATTTGCTTTCAGAAAGGGGGAAAGGTGTGAGGCAGCCCACAATATTGACACCTATTCCTATGGCAGTCAAAATATGGAATAATGAGGTCATAGAGAAAGAAAAGGATAGAACTACCCAAGAACTTGACATGAGATAGTTACTATAATTCTAAGCATGCTGATAACTAAAACGAAAGGAAAACATAGCAAAGATAAAAGCTTAACAATTTTACTTTACCTGTGGAAAAAAACAAAAACAGGTCAACCCAAGAAAGAGATACTTATCTTAATTTTAAATATTTTAAATAAATATAAAAACTAGTGCCCATTTTTTCACTTTAATTATTCACCTGTAGGGGACATTTGCATATATACATGCATATAGCAAAAAAAAATCTATCATTGATCACTACTTTAAAAAAACAACAACAAAAAGCACATCATGGGGTGTTGTTAAAGGAGAACTACTTACAAATGCACCAGGAATACCTCGAGGCCCAGGTTCTCCATCAAAACCCCGAGCACCCTGCAAAAAACCAGACGAAGAAATGAAAATGAGTTCAGTCATATATGTTAAAGGACATGTCAGTCTTTCTAAAGGATTTTAATAGCCACTTAAAAAAGAGGTTTTGTGTGTGTGATATATATCCTCTTCATCACTGAACCCCCCAAAAGTAGATATGACACCTGAAATATGAAAACTCTAGTCTATGTCTTCTCGTCCCACAAAAGTGCTTACACCAAAACCTTGCACTCTGGATATTTGAAGTTAACACTGCGCCCATTCTTGATTGCTGAAGGAATAAAGACACTGGCACTTACTTGGAGAACTTGGCAAATGTATTGGAAGAGATTTGGTAGTCCCTCTCCAGGACTACAGAATCCCTGTGGAAATTCACTCATGGCAAAGACCAAGGAGCCACCCCAGAAGTAGCTGCCAGGAGCTCTGCTGCTGCTGCTAGGGCTGTGGGAGGGGTGTCTGGGATTCTGGATTTCCACCAAGAAAGAATCAGATTTAGAATCAGAAGTCCAGCCATGTGATTTGGAAGAATGGATTGTAATAAGGATTTGAGCAGCTCCTCTCCCATCCCAGATAGATGTGAGGACCAGTTTGCATAAAGCAATTAATTGATCTATTCTCCCAACAACAGATTCACCCTGCCAAGGGATGTGGCGTAAGAACTATGAAGCTTTATAAATCTATCTTGAATTATCTCTGACTTGGTTATATATTACATATATAACCTCCTCTTTTTCATTATAAAAATCAAAATGTGATTTTAAGACAAAAATATGGTGTTTTTTAGTGCTGTCTACATATATTGTGTGACAAAATGCAATCCCCTTCTTTAAATCTTTTTTTCTTCTATTACGTGACCGAGAAGGCAATTGAAGTGAACAGGCCATCTTCTAATGAACAGGGTTGAGATGGGGAGACGATAAAATAAATGGAAAACAATCAAAAGCGTATTGAATAGATGTCAGGCCAAGAAATCCGGGTGAACAGCGCCTGTAGTAAGAATTAGAAATTAGAAAACCTGTGATAGGAGGTTCAGACATAGGTAGAATCGAAGAAAAGAACACCACAGAGAAAACACCACGGAGCCTTGAAATTCTTTGATCCCTAAAAACTAGAACAAACCAGTAGGCATTCTCCATTCGCCAGGGAAGAAGGGGTTTGGAAGACCTGGGAAAGAGTTTGGCTTCATCATTCAGCCTGTGTTGTGAGAGAGACGCCCAGCCTTGTGTTACAGAAATGGCTTTGATGCACCTTCTCTCTCATGCTGTTCAGCAAGAGCTCAGACTCAAACTGCTGTTACTAGGAAACCGCTCGACGGGTCTGAGTTCACAAGAAGAGCCTTTTTTTCTTTTCTTGTTTAATTGGTAGCAATTTGACAGGAATCAGAGGAAATGAGACATTTTGAAAAATAGCAACTAGAAAAACACCTCAAATAAAAAGCATATCAAGATCGGTGATTGGTTTCAAAGTGAGGGATCATATATATTCAGAATGATTTAAATCCAGAAAAAGCAAAAGCCTGGGTATCGGCAACTGTAAAATAAATGGGATTTCTTATTTAGTAACGGAAAAAATACACACAGAATGTTACTTAAGGTGACATGAATATAGAAATATAAAAGATTTTTTAAAGTGCAGTGTTTTTGTTTTTTAAAGAAATGAAAAAGGAAATCAGCCAGACTGAGAATACCTAAAAGAGGCTGGAAAAAAAGGAAGCTGAAGAAAGTATTCACAAAATCATTCTTCCAATACACAAAAATGTGCATCTCCTTAAAAACACATTTAATTTTATTTATTGAGTACCGACAGTGTGCAAATTATTCTTGTTTGGTTGTTAATGGAAGGCTGTATGCTTCTGTGTGGAATGATACAAATTAGCCATTAGCCATAGACGTTCTAAAGGAAATGGGGTAAGAATCAGGTGTGGTAGTTGGCAAAAGTGCTTTTTATTTTATTTTATTTTTTTCTGGATCCTACAAATTGCATTTCCCAACATACTTTCTAAGAAGTGGTAACTGTTTTCTTAAAGTCTGATAAAGAAGCTAGACACACATGCATGCACACATACAGAGCAAGACAGACACTTCTGAGCACATCATGAACTTTCAGGTTTCCATTGCTTTTGCTTATGATATTCACTCAGCCAGGCATCTTTTGATCTCTATCCTCTGCTAGAAGGAACACTTCATCCTTCCAGGCTGACATCCTTCTGATGCCAGTGCCTTCAGGAGCCCTCCCAGCTCCCCCATCGAGGTTAGCTATTCCTTCTTCACTCCCTCATACCACCTGTCCTCAAATTGATAGCTCTCTTGTTTGCATTATAATTAGCTGTTTTCTCCCAATAACAAACTTGCAGAAGTCTTTATTCCTCTTTGACTCTCCCCAGCATCTCACAGAGCACCTTGCTATGGAAATGCTAGGAGAACCTGGGCTCTGAGACCAGGCTAAGAACAAGTTGGTGAACTCCGGTCACTAGGGTATGATCTCTGCTAAGGGCAGAGCTCAGCGATCAGCGTGGCAGCACAGCCACTGAAGGCCCCGGTGTCCTTGAGTGTATCTTGCCTTCTCTCACTCTCCCTTTCCGTCTTCTGCTGTCCTAGCCTGGCTCTCCAGGTACTGCATCAGTGTTACCAGTGTTAACACCATTAATGATAAAGAGGTAAAGTATAATGGCCCTCTTTATAACCATTTGCCTATTTAAAATATATAATACATGATAAGTATTATGCATATTACTCATTTTTATCAGCTAAGTCGAAAACAGAAATGTGAGACTAACCAAACATCTACAAAGCACCAAACAAAAAATAAAAAGTGGTCAGCTGGTATGCCTCAGTGGTTGAACATGGACCTAGGAACCAAGAAGTCCTGGTTAGATTCCCGATCAGGGCACATGCCCAGGTTGCAGGTTCGATCCTTAGTAGGGGGCATGCAGGAGGCAGCTGACCAATGATTCTCTCTCATCATTGATGTTTCTCTCTCTCTCTCTCTCTCTCTCTCTCTCTCTCTCTCTTTCTCTCTCCCTTCTACCCTGAAATCAATAAAAAATATATATATATTTTAAAAATAATAATTAAAAAAGTGATGTTGTTGAAGATAAAGATATTTTTAAATGGCCAAAAATTTAAACATTTATACATTTTTATATTATACTAGAGGCCTGGTGCATGAAATTTGTGCATGGGTAAGGTCCCTAGGCCTGGCCAGAGATCAGGGCCAATTGGGACTTTCTGGCTGCCAGCTGGGGCCTCTCTTTCCCAGCTACTGGCGAGGGCCTTCCTTCATTCCACACCATCCCCTGATGGTCAGCATATGTCATAGTGAGCAATTGAACTCCGGGTCTCCTGGTCAAACAATTTGTATATTAGGCATATATATATATATATATATATATATATATATATATATATATATATATATACCAGAAGCTCAGTGCATGAAAATTCATGCATTGACGAGTGGGGGACCCTCAGACTGGCCTGCCCCCTCTCACAATCCAGGATCCCTAAGGGGATGTCCTACTGATGGCTTAGGCCTGCTCCCCATGGGGAGCAAACCTAAGCCACAGTATGGCCTCCCTCTGCAGGAGGCAACTGGGCCAATCAGGGAAGGCACTGCCCCCATCACCCTACCACTGCTGCTGCCTCTGGCCTCCTATAGCAGGAGACAACCAGGCCAATCAGGGGAAGGTGCTGCGCCCATCACCCTGCTGCTGCTGCCACTGCCGGCCACTGAGGCTGCTAGCCCTCAGCCCTCGCTTCTTAGTGCTGACTCCCAGGCCAGCAGGAGGAGGAGCTGTGGGAGATTGAGGCACAACAGATTATACCCTGTCCAGCCTCTGCAGAGGCACGGCACCGGGACTGGGCCCTCACAGCCCCCTCTCCTGCTGCCTCTACAAAAGGGACCACAGTGCTGGACCGGCCTACACCAAGGCCTCTCCCGTGCTGTGGCCTCTCCCGGGCTGCTGGCCCTCAGTCCTCGCAGCCGCTGTGGCTTTGTCTGGAAGGACGTCCAAAAGATATCCAGTCTATCTGGTCTAATTAACATATTACCCTTTTATTAGTATAGACTAGAGGCCCAGTGCATGAAAACTCATGCACTGGAGGAGGGGGTCCCTCAGCCCAAGCTGTCCCCTCTCTCAGTCTGGGAGCCCTCAGGGGCAGGAGGTGACACAGCAATTAGGGGAAGGCGACACCCAATCACACCTCTGCTGCTGACACTGCCAGCAGCACAAGCCTTAGCTGGCCCTAGTTACCTGAGCCCTGGGCAGCCCTTAGCGGCTGGGTAGCCACCATCCGAGGCTTGTCTGTGCCTCAGGCCAATCCTGGGTGGCTGGAGGACTGAGGGGATTGGGGGACTCAGAGGCAAGTGCTTTGGTGAGGCTTGGAGAACTGGGCACTACCATCTTATGGCTATAGCACCGCTATCTTCGGTGTGACAGTCAATTAGCATATTCCCTCCTTATTGGCTGTGGGAGCCACCATCTTTGCAATGGTGTGAAGGTCAATTAGCATATTCCCTCTTCATTAGATAAGATAATCATCATATTCTTACTTTTTCTCCCTTTTCCCCAACTATGCCGGTGATGCCTCTCAGTCCTTGAGAGCCCTGGAAATGTAAAAAAGAAAAGTGAATCATTGTAGTTGAAGCACACACTTATTCATCTCATCACAAAAACTAATCCAGAAGGATGTTACTACAACCTAAGGTAACATTAACAAATAGTGACATCATATAGATGAACTTTTCTAGTTTAGAAAGAAAAGTCCAAGGAGAATTCTTCTGATGATAAATCCTCGTTTAAAATGTTGAAGACTTACACACCTGGAGTTCAAACAATTACTCATGTCAAAGAAGTAACTATCACTGGCACCAGAAAATTATGGTAATACACATGACTTAGCTTTTAATATATACAGAATACACTGCCAATCTCACCTCCTTCATGGTTGTAAATTGGTTACATGTAACGTGGTTGTGATTTTAGACCTTGGGATAATTTTTTTCTCCCCGTTGTATGCCATCAAAGGCAACTAATTTCCCAAGCTAACCAGAGAAAGCTTGTGGCCTGTAAATGCAGCTGCTTGAGTCTCCATTAGCCACCTGTAGTCACTATTCATTAACCCATTTCCAGGGTTATGATAAATGTGTCCTGAACTCCAGTAGAAAACCATCTCACCCAATCTCTGGCACCGGATGGGTAATCCTAAAAACGAAGGTGTGGAGTGTGATTTCTAGTATCCCTTTCACTACTAAAATGTTATCTCTTGGCTCTCTGATCCCACAGCAGGAGGGCCCCAAAAAATGAATCCTGTGAAGAGGGAGCCTAAGAGCTCCCAGGGACAGCCGTGGGTAGATGCTTCAGCAAGAAGTAGGGTAGCTACTTCTGAACACCTTGCTGACTGTCCACGGTAGCTGGCTTAAATAAAGTAGCTCCAGACCAATTATTCCCCTTGTGCTCTCATGTGGAGAAAATGGGGTCATTCCATGGCCAACTCTGCATCCAGGTCAGTCACAAAGTCTATGTAGATCAGTTAGGATTGACCTGAAATGCAAATATGCAGGACGATCCAGTTTAGGATATTCACTTAGGATATGATGTGAGATGTGGCCACCTCAGTTCAAATTGCTCCTTTCAAAGGTGATTCTGAGTCATGACAAGGCCAGGTATCATCCCTCAAGGTGACTACTTTGAAGGGCAGAGCTTGTTTTTAAATGTTCCAAAATGTATATATATTTTTAAATCTGTACATAACTTTCTAGAGATATGTTTAAAAAGTGAAAATCTGTGAATTTTACAAAAACATCTTTACATATCCACCCCCAAACTCCAGAAGGTCAGCAAGCACTAATGATATACCCAATGGGCCACTTGAGCCACGAAGCACCCAACAGAGATTCCTTAATTCATAAGCACTTTTTCAAATGCTCCTTGCAAAATCCTGTTCGTAGAATTTTTGGGAATGGCTTTTTAAATAACTTTTTAAAGTCCCTATCAAATTTTCATCAGGTAAAAAATAAAGTATAAGTCTCTCACACTATTTATCTCTATTCCCACCCACCCCCAAACAGTGTTTCATAGCAAGGCTAGAGGAAGGCAAGCTTCTGGAACAAACACCCTTGGGCTCCTCAGACTTTCTTAAAGTTCTCACATGGCTTAAAAGTAGAGTTTATTTCTTACAGATTCTCTGACTCATTTCCTTTAGCTTGATTTCCCATCGGCTCTGGTAAGCACTGATCTGCACACTCCCTGCACCTTTATAAAAGCCAGTTGTGCAGGGAGAACGGAGCAAGGGTGGCCCCGTGTTTGTCCTACTTAATTCTAGTTTCTGAGAACAGGACCCAGCCTTGGCTAGCTACAATGTTCAGTGAATATCTTGAAATTATTATTCCCATGGTTGTTATTACTCATTGTGACCAAAAAGTGGCACTTCCATTTTCATATATGTAAATTCTGATTTAACAAACATTTTTTAAATGAAGTATGCTGATAGCCCCAATTCCTCACTGTGCATGTTATTGCAGCTATTTGCCAAAGCACGAGGAATCAACTTTTTATTAAAAGATATGAAGACAAGCAATTAAGCATGTTCTAATTAGCCCAGTTGGAGTGTGGCTCGGATGCTTGAGTTTGCCCTGTGCCCCAAAAGATTGCCAGTTCCATTCCTGGTTGGGGCACAGACCCAGGTTGCAGGTTTGATGCCTGGTCAGGGAGCATAGGGAAGTCAACCAATCTCTCTCAATCTCTCTCTCTCAATCTCTCTCTCTCAATCTCTCTCTCAATCTCTCTCTCTCTCTCTCTCTCTCTCTCTCTCTCTCTCTCTCTCTCTCTCTCTCTCTTTCTCTCTCTATGCATGTCCTCAGGTGAAGATTGGGGAGGGGGGTGAGGAAAATGTTCTAATTAAAATAATTGCGTGCTGGCATACGATACATTAAATCCAGGTGATATACCTGCTGAATATTAAGGATACACAAAATTTTCTCATTATATCATGTAATAAATAGTGCCATGGAACATAGGAAATATATATCATTCTCAGTGTTCAATATTTTTCCAGATTGCCTATTCCTAAAATTTAGTAAATGAACAAATGTATCTATATGTATAATTTTCCTGTTAAAATGGTGCTTGAATATACAATGGGGATCTTTCCTATTTTGAAAAAAATAATAATTTCCTAAGACTGGCTTGGCAGAAAAATAGAGAATATAATGTTAATGCAATACAATTAATCCAAATGCCAAATAGAAAATATTCCAAATGTCCTGAAAAGAATATTTTCATGTCCTAGGTTAAATCTTTTAAAAATACTTTACTGGAGGTCCTGGAGCTCCGACTTCTCCTGGTTCTCCTTGGTCTCCTTCTTCACCCTAAAAAGCAATCAAAGAGCACACCTGCTGTTATTCTAGCAAAGGAGCATAGAAATAGGCTTGGTCTAAATCCGCATATTTTACATTTATTTGGCATCCTCTGCCTTACTCTACTATGCCTTAAAACATTATTTCACATAAGTAATCCATATTAATTATAAAACATTATAGTATACAAATAAAGCCACCCAAATTTTACCTTTTAAATATAAATACCCGTAACTTTTTAGATGCTTTTTTAAAGAAAGATGGGCAGGAGAAAATGAGAGGGAGGGGGGAGGGAGACAGAGAGACAGAGAGAGAACAGGTATGCATATATATTTCAGGTGTGCATGTGTTAGGGAGTATTACTATAAAAATAAGATCATACTATGCAAACTTTTCCACACACTACAACACTCATTTTCTTTACCTTATGACCTTGTCTTCCAGGTTCACCAATTTCTCCTTTAGCCCCTTTATGTCCCTAACAAATGGAAAAATAAATAAATAAACAAACAAACAAACAAATAAAAAAGAATACTTGTATTGGGATTGGCACAGAAAGTGGTCAGAAGGCTCACTAAGTGATCTTACTTCCTTAATTCTGTGTCAATGTGCTGCTCAGAAAAAGGTTGTGTGACTACCTTAAATGACCTCAGTAATGCCATATGTATTACATGACTGCTACATATGGTAAGTATTAGTCTTAGTTAACAGAAAAACACTGTTCTAGAATAAAAAAAGCTCCATAACCTGATTCAGCAATTTGGTTCATTGACTAGAGGCCCCTAGATCCCTCCATCCCAAACTTCCTCTCACAGTTGGATTAAGAGCATTGTCTTTCCCAGTAAGTTACTTTCCAAGGTGACAGCTCTGATCCAACTCAACTGGTGTCTTATGCTCTGTGGAAGCTACTCTGAAAACCCTTCTGCCTCTTTCAGACCCATCTCCTTCCTGGAGGTGAAGAAGGGCTGGTGTAAGAAGTGTACTTCCACCCAGCCAGTGTAGTTCAGTGGTGTAGCATCAACCTATGAACCAGGAGGTCATAGTTCAATTCCTAGGCAGGGCACAGGCCGAAGTTTGAGGCTTGATCCCAAGTGGGGTTGTGAAGGAGGCAGCCAATCAATGATTCTCTCTTATAATTTATGTTTTTATCTCTCTCTCTCTCTCCCCCTTCCTCTCTCTGAAATAAAAAACATTTTTAAAAAGGTGTGAACTTCCCTAGATGCACAACTCTCTGGCTCTTTTAATGCACAGTTTTAAATGCAAAAGGAAATCTCTAAAAGGCAGTCAGTGAGGGCTGCATAGCATGAGAAAAGATCCCCGTCTTTTCTTGTTAGGACAGCTGTTCTACACATGGATGTGCTTTGGGCAGTTACATGAGGCAAGTATGAAATGAACATTCCAATGTAAGTGTATCAGAGCTTTCACTCTCAGAGCCTTTCTTGTTCTGAAAGTGCCAGTCTTTGTAAGTAATAAGACACCAATCCAGGCAACTATGGGAATCCATCAAAAGTAAACTTAAAAAAAAACATAATTGGAAAAGCAGTGCCTTGGGGCATTTCAAATCATAGCAGAACTCCATTGGTCTGACATTTTTCAAAATCACTTCAGACTCATAGACCAGAGGTAGAAAACCATTTGATCCTAGCATTTGGTTTTGTCTTTTTATTTTTTAATGGAAAATTTGAATTATAATGGCAGATGAAAGAAAAAATGCTTTTGGAATGTCCCTTTTCTTGCCTATTTTGCTGTTTTTCTTATTCAAACTAAAATAGTTTCAACTACATGATGTGTACAATTCCCCCCACCCTTCATAGAAGGCAAACTTCTGACTTTTAATTTGGTGTCTAAAGTGTCACAACGAAATACAATATTAGTATTTCTTCCCTGAACAATGACAAAAGCACTGTATAATCACATATCTGTGACTTGGTAGGAAGATCTGTCAGGGGCACCAGCAGGAATTTCTAGGATGAATAAGGACACAGACTAAGCCACACCATGAGCAAAGGCAGACTTGCTTGACTCATCAAGTGAGGTCTGCTTAAAGAAAAGGCTCTATTTTTGCTATGAATAACACTCTCGAAAATAAAATACTGAAATTATTCTCTTACTCTCATGCCAGGAATGCCTGGATATCCTGAGCGACCTGGTGGACAGGCATTGGGACACTGACAGAGAGATAGAAACAGAAAATGCATTAACTAGAGTTTCCACTTTATGGCAAAGTGGTATTTTTTTTTTAGGAATTCCAGCCATAGAACCCCAATGCAATTATATTCATTAAATAACTGGAATAACCCTTTCCTTTTTTTGTTATTTCTTTTTTTCTTTAGAAAAGTACAGAAAATATAGCAAATCTTTCCCCATGTACCCACCATCCAGATTTAATAAATACTAATATTTTTCCATAGTTATTTAAGATTTAATTTATTTTTTTTAATGTAGCCAGATAACCCATTATACCATAACTGGATCTTTTTCCCTTCCCCCCTCCATTGGATTACCTCCCCCCTGAGGGTCACAGCCCCTCATCAAATGTGCCAAAATTGCATTTAGTGCAGTTTACCAACATCATTTGCAAATTAGTCTATAAGTAAAACAAATCTTTGACTTCTGTCTTTTAAAATGGGGGTGATCAAGTGAAAACAAAATGCCTTAGACATAAAGTAAAAAGATTATAGAAAAACAAAGATATTTCTATAATGAAAAACAATTACAATCTGAGTGTATACAAGCTACCAGTCCACTAATGCTACGGCTTGCTCTGTCATCTGAATAAAGCACAGAAATACAACATATTCCAGTGAGATAAGTTTAAAGAGAATTCATCTGAAGATTGCATGGTCTCTGACTCAATACTATTTTGTTCAGAGGCAAACTTCTTACCAGCGGATCGCCATCATGAAAGCCAATCGTTCCCTAAAGTAACAAAACATTAGAATTAAGAATACACTTAAATATATTTAAACCTACTACTAATAATAATAGAAAGTTCACTGGACAAAATATAAGGAACAAAGCGATATAATATTCTAAAACCTTGCTTCATGGGTGTATATCTTTTGGAGAACCCTAAATTGCGTAGATTATTTCTTTCAGGGGATTGAAAGGAGGTGAAATGAGAGGAATAGGAAATATGGGGAACTTGGAATCATAAACTTAAGATATGGATTATCTCCTACTTGCTTACTGGGTAAACCCTTTGTAAAAACTAGTTCATTTGAAAATGTTCTTTCATATGTCCAAGTTCTGAGCATTTGAGAGTCACAAATATCAAAGGACTTTAAATATAGTGAGTAAGCCATTCCCTGAGAAAACCACGTTTAAAATTATTGTGATTCCTCTACTTTTCTTGCCTAAAAAGAACAGTGTTCTGAATGAGTGCAAAAAGTTGGTAGCTATTTTGGAATTTTAGGACAAAGGCTAATTACAGGTACTTCCATCTTTTGGTTCTTAGGTTTCTCTAATCCCAAATCTCAGATACAGAGAAATTTAAGCTGCAGATAACTTACACTGGGTCCTGGGGGTCCAGGGGGGCCAGGTGGTCCTCTTTTCCCAGGGTCACCCTAAGTTATTTGAAAATTGTGACACAGCAGTTACATACATGTCAAAACACAGTGCAGAAAACTGGTGAGGCATGAGAGAATGATATGACTAGAAACCCCTACAGAGCTCAGCCATGCATACACCTGTCCCCAAAATTAATGGGTGGCCCATAATCCAATCAGCTCCACAAAACCAGAAGGGATTCCAAAGTAATAAAACAGGGCAGAGGAAGACTTGGGGGAAAGTAAAGCCAATTCTCTATAAAATGATCAATTTCTCTATTCTGAAAACAAACTGGAAACACTACATATTTTTCTAGCTGATTTGCAGAGGAACTGAGAGACAGTACTGCTAGTGCCATCCATCTAATGGCAGCAAAAGAAGGTCTGCACCCAGCCTGAAGGTGTGAGATGGAAGGTGAGTCTCTGCAGAGCCAGACTGTCCCTGGTGCTTGTCCCTTGCTCTGTCACTGCACTCTCTTGCAATTGAGACAGAAGATCAAATGTGGCTAAGTTCAAACAAGCCATTCAGGGAAAATGGATTCCAATTAGTCTTCATATCCAGAGTTTACTCCTGGCATATGTTTTCCTTCATAATCTTCTACTAGAAGATGTCAAAAGCATCTTAGATTTAATTTAACTTTATAATCATTTCATATTCATTCAGTTGTTGAGTAAGTAAATTTGTCAAACAGTAAACAAGAAAGGCATATAATCACACTTGAGAGTGATTCCTACTCTCAAGGAATTTGCATAAATTCAAATGTGTTTCATTTTTGAAATAGGTATTGAATATTAACATCAAGCACTTATGACCAGTAATTTCTTCTATGAAGTTCAGCCCTTTATTGCCTTGGGCTGTTCTGTTAAGTTGATTAGACTAACAACATTAACATAAATACCCGTGGTAATAATGGTAGCCTATTTACTTATCATTTCATGAAAAAAACACTGGGCCTCACTCCTGGCTGGGTCTGTAAAATAGAGGTGACACTTCCTGACTTGATCACTAATTCTGAAAGTTGGGAAGAAAATTTCGGCTAAAAGCTTTGGGGGAAATTTTAAATCACTGTACAAAAACAAGGTAACATTGTTATCTTTGTTCTCCATCGATATTACGAACTGAATGAAATTCATCTGTCATTTTTTTGGATGTGCCAGGGAATAATATACAGTTTGGGTAATTTGCCTTCCCTAATAACATCATCTTTTAAATCAGCGAATGTCTATCAAAAGACGTGGCAGTACTCACAATTGGTCCCACACGGCCAAGCTCTCCAGGGAGACCTGCTCCCCCAGGAGAACCCTGAAGACAAATGAAAGGGACAGGGTCACTGGTGCATATTTTAACAATCCAGCACAATTGACATCCAGTATGATAAACAACTGACTTAGAATTATGTGTCTGTGCTAACTTTGGTCTCTGGAGAAACAGTAAGCCATCTGACCAAATTTTAATTACTAAAGTAGAACAGGAATTTCTCTAGCTAATAAAATATTTTGTTTAGCCTACTAGAGGTGCTGGCATAGCGGGTGGGACCCTGTGAACACCAGTAGGTAGGATGTTAGTTGGAGAGTAAGGTTGAGATCTGAGAACTAGGCCATTTTTATAGACTATGTAAAAAAATAAATCAAAAGACGATACTCACAGGGGGTCCAGGAATGCCACGGCCCTAAAAGATTAAAATGAAAATTACAATGATATGTGATTTATATTTAGTATAAAGGCAGACACAGGCCTAACTCAGTTCAAAAATAAATTATTCACTCTATTACTAAATAAATACATGATGCTCGTTCTAAAGAAAGCAGTGGATAAAGAAAAACAAACATGGCTCTGCTTCTAAAGGAAGTGGAAACTTGTGCCAGCTCCTCACACATCCCTCTGATGTCTAAGCTAACCAGTTATATTTTTTTCCAAACTTTCTTTTAAAAAAAACCAAAGTAAAGAAGTCACCCATGCTTGCCCTCAAGAAAACTTAACATCACTCACAAAGAGACCCATCACAACCTGACAGTTTAAAGAGCTTTTCATTTGTCGTGTTTTATAAGAAACCTACATTAAGAGCAACATCGTGCAATGTTTTATAATTTATAACGTGACGTTTGGATGTTCTCCCAGACAAATAGTCAGCGCAGGGAGGCAAGCGGGGAAGAGGGGTCCAAACACACACTCCTTGACAGGCAGGACTCTATTCCCAGACACCAAATGCAGTAGATATTAAATGTAAAATGATGCCACTCCTGAAATGACCTATGATGGGACAGGCTGAATTTGATTTTGAAACTAGCATGCCATCCCCCTCTCCTATACACTGTATATCTCTTTAGCAAACCAAACTGTGTATGATTAGGGGTTGAAACCACATCCTATTCATCCTCCAAGCCTCAATTCCTAGCACAAGGCTCAGTATATAATAAACCCTAACTATATGCTCATTAAACTTTATTAATAAACTGAACATCAGCTGCCTAAAATCCCTTACTTTCTCTCTTTGCTTTCCAGGTTCACCTTTCCTCTCTTGGGGTTCCTCATAACTGTTTTCTCGCCTACTCAGGCTTGAATCACTTTTATTCACAGCTATCTCTGTCTGATACCAGGCCAGCCAAGGTGGGTGCAATGTGATTGGTCGGGGGCCCAGCCGTTGCCCCATGATCGCCCCACAGAGGAGACAGGCTTCCCTCACAGAGGAAAGCCCAGGTCCCGGGTGCTGGCAGCCAGAGAGAAGGAAGGCCTACTCTTGCACAAATTCCATGCATCAGGCCTCTAGTAAGAGATAAAAACCAGTTATGGAGAAACTAGTGTGTTGTCATGGGCTAAACACTGAATACTTCAATTTGCTGATGTTAAGCAAGAAATGTTTTCTGTCAATTAGAGCGGAAGAGGAGTTTTCCATTGGGAAATACCACCTACAAACACACTCATATTTTACTGTCCATTCTCTAAGGTGTTTCTACTCATATTCAGAATACTTACCATGCCAGGTAAGTCATAACTTTTTTTTTGTAATGCATATTATGTAGAAAACTGCATTTAAAATTTCCACGGTGGCAAATTTTTACCTTAAAGATAGATTTGCAATTCTATTACTTTATATGCACTTACTGGAAATCCACGTGATCCCGGCACACCAGGTTCTCCCTAAAAATAAAAATAGCTTCACTGTACTTAGCTTCTTGTAGTATAAATATGTAAATATACAAACTGTATTAATATTAAAATCATTAAAACACTCCACCTGGGTGTTTTTTATTTAATTTAACTCAGCTAAAACACAATTTTAGTTGAACAGTGTATATCAGCTGCTTCACAACTTTATTAGTTGATTTGCAGTCATTACAATAAAATTATATTTCAGCATTTAATTAACACCAACAAGCAATACCAGAAGGCTAACTTACTTTTTGTCCTCTTTGCCCCCCAGAGCCTGGAGATCCATCAGGTCCTGTTAATCCCTACAAAGCAAGATGATATTAGAACTATTATAGCATCTTTAGTCAAATCATTAAGCTAAGTATTTCATTTTATGTATTAATTATGTACAGAATGGTTACCTATGTATAATGCAAATATTCATAAAAATATCTTCCTATATTCTTACTCAAAGGTAATGTTTAACATGCCATCTGTTAGTTACTTCATATTGATAAATGTGATTACATTCTTAACTTCTTGCTAGCTACATTGTTTATCACAGAGCTCAATAACAATGTTTTTTGCCATAGCTTTGAAAAAAATGCAACATAGCAATTACAGTATTCTAATAGCTAAATCTGTTGGAACAACAGGTCTTGGCTGTGTGACTTATCTATGTTTTAACACCTCCTTTACTTCATTTATAAAATAAAAGTACTATGTGTCTCTATAACTCTCTAATAATATCTTGAGAATTGATTTAATTTTTCTTCAATAGGAATTTAAAATAAGCAATATCCTTATTTACTTACAGCCACCTAAGTAAAGCCCTCTAGCCATCTTCTAGCAATAACTGCTTATTTAAGAACATCAACTTTTAAAGTTGAAACATTTGAGAGCATGAATGTTTCTATATTATCTTCCTTAATAAAAATAGCTATGCTATAATTAAGAATATAATTTCATGTGTGCAACTATGTATTTAAAATTTAAGCCACTTACCAGAAAACACTTTATAACTCTTATATTTAATACTAAAGCAGTTATTAAAGCATGTCTCCAAAGCGTGCTCATTTTTTTCCAGTACTTATTTTATTGTCATTCTCAATATAAAGGAGATATTAAAGCAAGATAACACTGTGTTATTTGAATTTTCCTATTTCGTGAAGATACATTTTTATATTTTTAATTTTAGTTACTCTGACTCTTTTAGATGTCATTTATAATGTAATCTAGAAATTACACCTTGCTAAAGATAATTTTATGTATGTGTATCTACATATATGCACAGGTTTGTACATATACATAATGCATGATTATATAAGTGTCTTATAAAACCTATCTATTATTCAAATTTTTTAAAATATATTTTATTGATTTTTCTTACAGAGAGGAAGGGAGAGAGATAGAGAGCTAGAAACGTCGATGAGAGAGAAACATCGACTAGCTGCCTCTTGCACATTCCCTACCGGAGATGTGCTCGCAACCAATGTACATGCCCTTGACCGGAATCGAACCTGCGACCTTTCAGTTCGCAGACCGACACTCTACTGCTGAGCCAAACCGGTTTCGGCTATTATTCAAATTTTGAAAAAGATTCAAGTGATATTAATTGAGGGAAGGATTCCTTGAAATTATAAAAACCCTACTTAAAAATGGATCATCAAAATCCATTTTTAATCTGTCATAGTCTACATAATTATCAATAAAATGCTTTCATGTAATTTATAGAGAAAATTTTTTCACTGGTCACCATTTTTACATTTCTCTATATTAATTAATTTCTCTCATAACTCCATAGAGTGAATAAAAGTAGAAAAAATTAATTTAAAATGTTAATTACTGGAAGTGTGCCAATGAAGAAAATTATTAAACCTACACAAAAGAATTTTTGACAAACTGTCTCTTATTTTCAATTGCCCTAATCCCATGGTCGGCAAACTGCAGCTCTCTGTGACTCTTTGGCCCCTTGAGTGTGGCTCTTCCACAAAATACCACGGCCTGAGTGAGTCTATTTTGAAGAAATGGCATTAGAAGAAGCTTAAGTTTAAAAAATTTGGCTCTCAACAAAATTTCAGTCATTGTACTCTTAATATTTGATTCTGTGACTAATGAGTTTGCCGACCACTGCCCTAGTCTGATTACAACACTCTAATTTGGGAACAAGCCCCAACATCTTAGTTGCGAGCACCTGTGGGAATGGAACGCTGGCTTCTGTACTTCAGCAAACAAACATACATCCAGGAACCCTCTCTGGAAGCATGTATGGCACATAGATTTTCTAGACCTCGGAGCATGTTTAACTAATGGAACCTCTAACTCCCACTTGATGTATATGTCCTCCAAGAACAATCCTGGCCAATTTTCACACACAGCTCACTAGCCATCTTCAATCTGTGACTTGAATAACTAATAAGATTAGGAGACAGTGGCTTCTATTTATGGTAGAATTCCAGCTGCACAAGAACAGAGCAGAACCAAGTAAAGAGCTGGATAACCTGGAGGTTGCTTCCAGGTCTTTCCTTACTTAGTATCCTCCACAGGACATGATAAAGATGTCTATCCCTAGGAATCTCTCTGAATTAAATTGAAAATATATTCTGGTATCAGATGTTACAGTGTACTCTGTTATGAAATAGCCATGTAGAAAAACATAAAACTCCACGAGCTGAAATTGACATTTTTAGAAATGTAAAAAATACACTCCATGAGGACAAGGGCTGTGTGTCCATTAGATTCTAGAACTCTGCCTCAAGAATCTAATACATACTCAATACATGATTATGGAATAAAATTAATTTAGGTCAGCCTGGTAGGTGTGAGGATATGACACCTGTCCCTTAAACATCATCTTTATTTTTTGTTGAAATCCCAGCTCTGCCGCTTATTGGCTATGCAACCATTCACAAGTTGCTTAACTACATAGTGCCTCAGTTTCCTAATCTGTAAAATAGATGTAATTATAATAATAATAATAATATCTACCTCATGTGGCAATGTGGAAGGTTAAATGGGATATAACACACTAAGTGCTTACACCAGTGCCTGGCAGAGTGTGCTCTGAATAAATGTTAGCTACTCTTATTGTCATCATTATTACATCACCAGCCCTGTTCTAGATGCTGGGAAAGGCTCACATGAATCATAAGACATGTTTCCTGTTCTCTGGGAAAGGGTTCTGCAAACAAACAAACAAATACAGATACTAACCACAGGCACTGTACTCACAGACCTCTCACATTGCTTTGAAGCCTTACTAGTTCTGCTTATACTGACTTTTGAGAATAATTTCATAACTCACTATGCTAAACATATAACATCTCCCAGGAATAATAGTTATATACATTCAGAGTATGTTCTAACCTCTTTCTTGTAGAAAGGGCATGGTTTAAGTATAATTCCTGTCATTAATTCTAATTATTCTTCTTCCTATCTTAGATGTATGCTATAAGAATAAACAAAATGCCGAAACCGGTTTGGCTCAGTGGATAGAGCATCGGCCTGTGGACTGAAAGGTCCCAGGTTCGATTCCAGTCCCAGGTTCGATACCTTGGTTGCGAGCACTTCCCCAGTGGAGGTTGTGCAAGAGGCAGTTGATCGATGATTCTCTCTCATTGATGATTCTAACTCTCTATCTCTCTCTCTTCCTCTCTGTTAAAAAAAAAATCAATAAAATATATTTTTTTAAAAAGAATAAATAAAATACTGTTTTTGCCGAGCTCGCTGAGCATGTCACAGCAAATAATGCCTATAAGAATGTCTCTAGCAATATTATTAATCAGTAGAGATCCATGCACATTGAAAGGAAATTTAAAGATGGCAAAAGGGGCCAGACACACCCTGTAGCCAACCTCCCATAGTTCCTCCTTGGCTGGATGCACCTGAGGTGGCACAGGGCTTAAAGGGTATCAGCAGAGTAAGTGGGATCCCTCTGGCAGGCGGGGTCTCTCGACCTGGCCTGAGGAGATCGGGCTGAAACCAGCTCTCTGACATCCCCTGAGGGGTCCCAGAGTGCAGGAGGGCACTCTGCAAAGTTGCTGTCGCTCAGCAATTCCTGAGTTGAGTGTCTATTCCCTGGTGGTCAGTGCGCATCATACCTACAGGCCAGTCAGCCGTTCGCTTAGCCTTTTATATATATAGAAGATAGATAATAACATAGTTGTCCATTGGGTACAAGCTTATAACCAAGCTCCGACTTCTCTAATTTTATATGTCTATGAGGGCAAAAAACTTAAAGTCATAGCAGGAAGGAAAAGATTCTGTATATAAGCCTAGCCGGTTTGGCTCAGTGGAGAAAGTATCAGCCCACGGACTGAAGGGTACCAGGTTCAACTTTGGTCAGAGGCATGTGCCCTGCTTACAGGCTCAATCCTGGGGGGGAGAGGGGGGAGTGAGGGGAGCATGCAGGAGGCAGACAATCAATGATTCTCTCCATTGATGTTTCTAACTCCTCCCATCCTCTCTGAAATCAGTAAAAATATATTTTTTAAAAGATTAGATATATATTTCCCCCACATTTACATTTACACACAAATACATGCACACACACACACATGCACAATTTCAATTTTTAATAATTCTTACTTATTAAAGAAATAAAAGAGAGCAATTTTACCAGTGGCAGAAAAAAATTGCTTTTACATGAGTGTTTAAAAAGATAAAGTTCTATATAGGATGATAGTGAAGGCGACTGTGTTTCGAACTTTCACGCTGCTGCTTGGCAGGGAGCACAAGGCATACCAGCCCTCAATCTAATTTCTTCCAGCATTCCAATGACTCAGGTCTGGAGACTCAGGCATAACAACTGCCACCACTTTTTATCTTTTCTGTCAAAAATCCACTTAATTTGAGATAATTACCTTTAAACCATGTTCCTTTCAAATTCTTCCAAACATCATCTGGTAATGTTAACATGTGGTAATGTTAACTAAATGCAAAAAAAAATACAGCTTTGCCATGATAGAAACAGCAGAAGACAGAGATTGGAGGTTTATGGTCCTACGATAACACTCAGGTTCACCTATTATAAAAACATTATTGAAGCTTTCCTACTGCCCTATGTCCAGGGACAAACAAACACCAAGGTCTGTTTATTTTCAGTGTCTTTCTTTATTCTCAATGTCTATCCTGAATTTAGAATAAAAGACATATTTAAAATGTCAAGTGAGACAAAGGGTGGAGTAAGAAAACTTTTTGGCTAAGAATCTTTTACGTCTTACTAGAGGCCCAATGCACAAAGATTCATGCAAGAATGGGCCTTCTGCCGACACCGGTTTGGCTCAGTGGATAGAGCATCGGCCTGTAGACTGAAAGGTCCCAGGTTCAATTCCAGTCAAGGGCATGTACCTTGGTTGCAGGCATATCCCCAGTAGGGGGTGTGCAAGAGGCAGTTGATGGATGTTTCTCTCTTATTAATGTTTCTAACTCTCTATCCCTCTCTCTTCCTCTCTGTAAAAACTCAATAAAGTATTTTTTTTTTTTAAATGGGCCTTCCATCCCCTGGCTGCCAGCACTGCCTTTGCTCCATCCTGAGCCATCTTTTCACTCCAGCCTGGAGTCACCTTCCCACTTTCCCACACAGCCCAAAGGCCCGTACCTCCCCTCACCACTTGGCGCCTGCGAATGCAAATTAACCCGCCATTTATTGGGTCAATTTGCATACTCACTCCTGATTGGCTGGTGGGTGCCACGAAGGTAGGGTCAATTTGCATCTTACCCTTTTATTAGTGTAGATGTGGCTCCATTTCATAAAAATCATAGAAATATTTATAAATAATTATAAATATCAATTATAAATTATTTTTATTACCCACTGAATTATCTATATCATTTTTCATTAGTAATTCAGATTTTAGAATTCAGTTATTCTTTTTCTCTCTATTTTCTCTGATTATCCATCTATTTAAGAGCCTCATTTGTATCTGAATAAAGCAAAACTATCTAAAAAGAGAGTAATCCTAAAAATCAAGAAATATGGTTTCTTTCTTAGCCACTGAAGAACTCTAGGTCCCTGAGGAACCTAGTCTCCTCATAATTGTTCAGTTTCCTTATCTGTGGAGAATAATATTAGCCAAACCTGCTTTCCAGATTGTTGTAAGTTTAAAGGAAATAATGTTTGTTAGGGTGCTTGAGAAAAGTGCAAATTAGTATAGTTAATATTTTGCTTAGTTCTAGGAAATGCCTAAAATACTGGCACATAGCTGGATTTCTTCCTTTTTTCCTTCTTCCTTTCTCTTTTTCTCTTACTTTCCTTCTCAATCCCAGGAGACTGACTCAATATCCTCATCAGACTCTCCCTGAGGGCCTTCCAGGATCAAATTAAGGCACAAACTCTTACATTTTTAAACTTTGGAAATCTGGCTTTTTCTGTACTATAGTACTGTAATTACAGACACAGAAAAATTGTTATTTACATTTACTTCTGAAGATTTTGAAGCACTCCCATTTGTTTATCCAAAATATCTATTTATGTAGGGATAAACAAATGGGAGTTTATAAAGCAAAACTAGGTATTATCTTTCTGACCTTAAGGTAAAAAATAAAGAATTTGTTGAGCATGCTACATAAGACCATAAAACAAAGGCACAGAGAATCTAGCCCTCTGTCTGAGATTATTGCAACTCAATAGCAAGTGCTTCAACTACCACATGTTAAAATTAATAATGATAATACTAACAGAAATAATAATGATAATAATTCAATCATAAAATTTCTTTTCACACAAAACAAAAGTCAAATCAATGTTTCAAAGAAATGCAGAAATAAATCCAATCTATATTGGGCTACTAGTTTTTCAGTGGTCTCATATTTGTTAGACATTTTTATTATGGGACTGTTTCAAGTCATTCAGAGTGTATATTATATAAAAGTTAATTTGTTATTCAGCTTGTATTCTCCAAATATTCATCCTTGGGGGCCTCACACACTATCACTTTACATACATAACATAGAAAGTTCAAACTAGAGGCTTTGAAATGTAAAACAATCTACTTCCTAAAGCATAAATACCATAGACAAATGTCCTCATTATGATAATCTGGATAAAGAAAGCTGTTGAAATCTTGCTATTTTGCTTTTCTCAAAATGAAGGATTTGTCCTAAACTCAAATCAAACATTCCTGGAGATTATAGTCACCGGTTTTCAGGTGCTTCCTGTGAGTCAGAAAAGTCTTTAGTTTTGGGAAACAACATAAAGTGATGGCTTGAAGGATAACTTGGAGGCACCACTGTCTGTGCTCTGAGAAGAGAGCCATAACCTTCCCACTTGGTGTCTCAACCACAAAGTCCAGGATTGGCCTGTACTGGGAACTCAGTCAGTATGAGCTGAGCGCCTAAAGACGGGAGAAGCTGAGAGTCCTGAAGTAATCTTTCTCTGAGGAAATATTATTCAGGGTTAGGATCAGTATCTGAGTTTCCTGCAGATGGGGGAAGGGAGTATGGAGAAGGGTATATTGGGCAACCGTTACTGGTTCCTCTTCATGCGACCCTAGCCAGCTTATTTTTATCTAAGAAAACCCCATGGAAAGAGAGAAAACTGGTTTTAAATTTCCTATTCCATGTGTGCTGGCCATTCATTGCCCTGCCCCACCCCCAAACACCCCACTCACTTCCGGCCCTCCCCTCAACCCATTTCTTTTTTTTCTTTCCTTTTCCCTGCCTGAGGTTGTTTTTCTGAATTAATCTAGGGAATGGCAGTACGAGGACAAGAGCAAAGACAGCGTGCTCCAAAGCCCAGCGGAGACCAGTAGGCGTCCATCTCCCCCAGCACCTCTTGTGCCCCCAGTGGGGCTGAGAGTGCAGAAGGTGAGCAGAGAATGGACGGTCTGAGGCAGGAACCTGGTGCCAGTGCTGTTTTCTGAAAGCTGGAAATGCCAGCGCTGCGTGCCAGTCCCCAGAGAGCCCTGAGGTATGCGGGAGCTTCACCCTGGCAGGCCTCTTGGCAGAAAGCTGCTGCCTCCAAGTCAGCCAGCCAAATTCAGGGCCACGGCCCATTCCAAGTAGGTCTACCGCTCCCAGCACTGAGTCTCCCCCCTCCTCCTGCCCTTCTCCTTCCTCCCCTACACACACACACACACACACACACACACACACACACACGCGCGCACACACGCCTACTCACGTCAGCGCCAGGCGTGCCAGGCTTGCCAGAAGCTCCCGGTTTCCCAGGTTCTCCAGGAGGACCCTGAGTGGGGAGGAGGGGGGGTCAGGGAGAGGGAAAGGTGCAACGTTGAGATCCTGTGGATGCATGTGGCTGCAAACCACATCCAAAGGAACCCAGTGGAGTGAAAAAGCACTGATCAACTTACCGGGGGGCCTGGTGGACCCTTTGGGCCTCGGTCACCCTGGAGGGGCAGGAGAGAAGGAAAGAGCAGTCACCGAGATGCTGGGGACCCTCTGAGAGAATCCCACCACGTTCCCCACACCGATGGGGACAGAAACAAGGTACATGGTGGAGGTTCGTGACCACTGGAGACAACTGCCTCCTCCCTCAGAAATTCCCCAGTCTTCTGAGATCCAACCCCCATGTCACCCAGGTCCAATCCCGCCTTTGGGTGGGGGGGGGGGCAACTTGTCCCCTCAAAAACCAGCCTCGGAGTCGCTGGAGAAAGGGTAGGAAAGGGCAGGACTGGAAGACAGAGGGGCTGGAGAGAGAAACTTACGTCAATGCCATCGATGCCTGGAACTCCAGGGGGCCCTGGAGGCCCCGGTGGGCCCTGCTCGCCTGGGGGACCTCTCTGACAAAAACAGCACACGCGGTTAGTGGCACACATTGGGCAACAGGGAGAAACTGGGTGCCGTGGCCTGAGGCCCCCAGCTATGCAGGGCAAGGACACCCCCCTGAGGAGGCCGGGTTTTGAAACCCAATCGAGCACAATGGATCAAACTTCCAAGCTGCGCAGGTTGCCTGGGCTATGTCTGCCACGCTCCGAACAAGGCTGAACAGTGGGGTTGGAGCCTCATCTAAGCCCCCAAAGTGGGGAGAGGGGTCCCAGGGCCTCGCCTCTACAAAGTGCACTAGACCAAAAGGGGGCCGGGAGGGAGGGAGGGAATCCTCCCCTGGAAGGGATTCAATCACGAAAACGGTGGTCACCGGATACCTTGATTGAATCAGTAATTGCAAGTCAGTGTTTGGGCTCAAATGGAACCGCAAATGGAGGCACTCTGCATCAGATGGGTTACCATATCGTTTTTGTAAATCTCTCCAGCCCAGTCGAAGGCTGAGGGGCGTACTCTTGAGGGAAAGATCCATGGGGAGGAGAGGGGCAGAAGGTGCCTGACTCCCAGCGTGCGCCCGGCCTCATTTCAGATTCACCTGCACGGACACTCTCTTTGCATGAAGTCTTTGCACCTCACTTCCAAATTTCACTGACTCTAAGGAGTGACCCCTCTTATCGCTTGGGAGCAGCTGAGCTTTGAAAATAGTGTGAGCATGTTGCTTAGGGCGTGTGGGGGACTTTTCCACCCTTCTAAATGTAAAAGAAAGAAAAGAGAAAAAGCTTCTTTCATCAAGGAAAACTTTTTTTGTGTGTTTTTTTCTAAGCCGCAGTGAGCAGACAGGTTACAATGGGGTCTTTGTCAGTGAAACCCCAAACCCTGGCCGGACTCCCCGCCCCCCAGCTCGGCGGGAGGGATGCCGGAGCCTTGGGGAAGCTGCTGAAATGTCCCTGGGAGCCAAGGCTGCCCAGGGCCAGTCCCCAAGCTGCGGGCACCCCTGGCAGCACGCACGGTTTATTTTTTTTTTAATATATTGTATTGATTTTTTTACAGAGGGATAGAGAATTAGAAACAGCGATGAGAGAGAATCATCCATCAGCTGCCTCCTGCACACCCCCCACTGGGGATGTGCCCGCAACCAAGGCACATGCCCTTGACGGGAATCGAACCCAGGACCTTTCAGTCCGCAGGCCGACGCTCTACCCACTGAGCAAAACCGGTTTCGGCAGGACACACGGTTTAGAGCTGCCACCGCGGGCTGGGGGAGCAGCGGGAGAGGGAGATTGAGGGGCGCTGGCCTGAGTTCTCGCCCGCCATCCCCGGCTCCCAGGCTGTGTCCAGGAGAGAGAGGGGAGGGGAGGGGAGGTAAGAGGAAACCAAGCTAAAAATTAAAGCTAAATCTGGAGACACCAAGGGCCTTTGGGGTCTGAGCCCACAGCAGCGTCAGGTCCCAAGTGGGAGGAGGTGTCCTTTCCCGGGCAGGTGGGTCACCTGGGGTCCCCGATTCCCATGGTATTTGCAGATTGCTGCAGGCGCTCCGGGCTGAAGGGAGGGCGCCCCCCTCAGCCCTGGAGATGCTCCGAGCCTTCCCTACCCGAGCTCCCTCCACAGCTGCGCCCCCGGCCTTTCACCCGGGTGCGCTGGGGAAATGCAAACACGTTTTCCCTCCAGCTTACCTGCTCGGGAGCCTGGCTGGGCTGGGGGAGAAAAAAGATGGGGGAACGAACGTGAGAAGGCGCCCCGCCCCCCGCCCCGAACTCTCGCACAACTTACTTGCGCGGCGCACAGGCAGAGCCCTGACAGCAGCAGCCGCAGCCCCAGGGCCCCGTGGTCCCGCGCCGTCCAGGCCATGCCCACCTCCCTCTGCTGGTGCCCGGGCCGAGGCTGCCTCCGCCACGCGCACCGAGTGGTGCAAAAAGCGCCCCGGGTTAGTGGTGGCAAAGGTGCCTGGGCGGGCGGGGGAGGCCTACGTGCCTCCTGTTTATGAATGGCCCCGGAGAGGGTCCTGGGGATTGGAGGAGAGCTGGCGGCCCGGAGGACGGATACAATGACAACAGTCCCCTTAACCCTTTCCCCAACCGCCCGCCGGGCTCTGCCTCCGCCCACCGTCCCACCGCCGCCCCTGGCTGTCCTCAGAGCCCCCTCGGGTGGCCTGCGCGCCTTGGTGGGTCGCCAGCAGACCTTCAGCTTTCTTGGGGGAGCGTTTTTTGGAAGGGAGTAAGCGACCAGAGGTAGAATCAGGTGCCTCTTGGTGGTTTCTACCCTCCAGGCTGTGCTTCCTTAATAGCTATCCGATGGGGACAGCAAAAGCCCAGACTTGTTTGGAGAAAGAGGATGGGAGGCGGCAGGATGGAGAGGAATCAGCTGGATGGAAGGGGCAGATGGTCCGGGGGGACTCACCGTTATCCTGGCTGGCAGCTCGTGGCAAGTTTCTCTGCTGGGTCTAAGTGGGTCACAATGGATCAGCATCCACTGAAGTTCAAACTGGACAAAGATAGCAGGCAGACAGTCAATTCAGGTTCTTCTGGAGGACAGAAACGGTCTTTTAAGAGAGAGGTGGCTTGGTAAGGTTGGTCCACTTGCTAAGTGACTGGGGACCAACTTGAGCTGGTTGATCTCAGTGCCCCAGGACGATCATTGTTCCTTGAATATAAATTTCCCCTGGAAATGGGCTGGAATCCCAAGTTTCTCTGATCATTGGATGCAGATGTCTTTAGCTCTGCATTACTCCAGCAGAAAACCAGTTGCTGGGCACGGATTTTCTATTTCTGTCCACACCACAACCCCCAAGAAGTCCATTCTATTAAAATGAGACAAGAGAGAACAAAGAAATGTCCTAGTCACAAGCCAGTAAGAGTTAGAGGCTGAATTGGAACCCAGGCCTACTGAACTCCACAGAGCACATATGTGCTAAGAGTTCATAGGGGAGGAGATGAAGGACCGGCAGCCAAAGAGGTGGCACCCAGGAATAAAGTCGAGGAAAGAAAATCTGATCCTGGAAGAAATATGCATGCTAGAGAAGACATTCTCCATGGAGCAGTCACAGCCTGAAATAAAAATGGAAAAGACCAGAAATGGTGGAAATGAGAGGGAAATCTAGGACTCAGGGGGAAAGCAAGATAATTAAAAAAAAAATTAGATCATTTTACTCATTGGTTGCAAAGATATAAAATTCTTAGCACTTGAAATCCAACTTCTTACATTTTAGCAGGTGCTGAGGGAGATAAAAAAAAAGTGGAAAAGTTACAGGCCAAAGGAGGAGTGGCCAGATCTGAATCTGAGAGCTTCAGGAGGGGGGGGGGGGGGGGGGGGAGACAACGAAACAAGACACACACAGATGTATTCCACAAGGAGCATGCCACTATGTGCCTTGCTGGCCCCTCTTAAATTGAGAACGTTCATTGCTAGACATTTCAAGTCAGACCCATATTTCTTGCTCAGTTGATTCTTCTGGCATTATATGGATATCTAGTTAAGTGTCCAGGTCCCAAATCTAAACATTATCTCTTTTTTTAGTCAAACAATAAATTGTACTCCATCCCCCCTGCCAAACTGACTCTAGATCTGCTGGATCTAGAATTATCTTGGATACATTTTTTCCACTCTTATGGAATCATCCAGAATTGAAATTACTGGATGGGAGGTCAAAATTGGACAGGATGAAGGATGACGTCTTTTCCTTCTGCCCACAATGAATGGAAAGTTCGACAAATGAAGTTTTCCCTTAAAGGTTAAAATGAGACATCAAACTTTCACATTCCTACATTGTTGCCTCCTCTTATATGATTTAAGTATCCTAGAGTCCTCTTTCTCCATTATTCTTGTTTCTCTCAACCTTACCATGCCTTTTCTCCAGAAAATGTGGACATCTGGAAAAATGAGTTTAAGTAGGATGAAAAGAAAGTGAGCCACTAAATCAAGACATATCTTAAGATGAAAATTCATCTGTGGATTGTGTGACAATTATCTGTTTCTTCATGGTTTGAACTATTTAATATTATTATACTGACATTCTTCAAAAGAACTGCTTTGGAAAGACAAAATGTCTTGCAGGTAAGGAAATTATTTTCATCAAACACTATTTTTATTGGAATACTTTTGTTTGTTTGGAAGAGATTTTATTTTGTTTTGTTCTAAATTGCAGTGGGAATTTTAAAAGAGAAAGAATAGAACAACCTTTTCCTAAATGAATACTAATTACCTGGCAGGGCCTCAAACAATTCTTTGAAGCAGATCACACCTGGGGTGAAGTGGAGCAGAGAGGTTAAATCATTTGCCACAAGTTACACAGCTACCCTGTTTCCCCGAAAATAAGACAGTGTCTTATATTAATTTTTTCTCCCAAAGTTGCGGTAGGTCTTATTTTCAGGGGATGTCTTATCTTTTCATGCGCTAGGTCTTATTTTCAGAGGATGTCATTTTCTGGGAAACACAGTAGTAAAAGGCAGAGCTAGCATTCCAAATGTGCCTGACTCTAAAATGGGATTTCTCTACTACCCTACTCAGCCTCCCCAAATAATACAGAATGAGTTATAATTTTATAAGGAGGTAACCAAGGCATATGATAGATGAATATTTGTATTTATTAAAGATGAATAGAAAAGAATTATTTATAAATTAAAATTATATAAGCTAGTTTTCAACATCTGCTAGAAAACTTCAGAATTAGGCTAAGAAACTTTCATAAGAATTCAAACCTTTTCCTATTTGCATGTTTGTTACAGAAATATGTCCAGAAGCAAAATTTCTAGTGTTCTTCCAAAAACTGACAGCTATTTCTATATGCAGTTTCATAGTAATGTATATAATGAAATATCATTTAGGGAAAATAATTATAATTTTTTCTCAGTGACCAGATAAAAAATATTACCAAAATAAGAAAATATATATTTCCACTCCCTACCTATCAAAATAAGAGACCATATATCATTTTATTCACTAAGTCCTTTGTGAATTGGAAATAACTCAGACTTAGAATGGAGAGTGTGTGTGCAATATTTTAATTCTCAATAATAATTTATACCTCAATCATCTTGAGAAGCTTTAATTATACTTATTGCAAATGCAAAATGATTCATTAAGCTGTTTTCTCAAAAAATGTAATTCTCTCTGGATAAATTGGCACACCTGTTGAAATATGTGAGATGGAACTGTGGCACAAGATAATGGAGGGGTGAAATGTAATTCATCTGTGAATACAGGCTGCGTTGTTCAGAGTGGGGCGTAGATCAGAAGTTTCTGCACACATCTGTGCATCCACATAAACACCACCTACGTACTAATAATCATCTCTACAAAATCATTTTTTGGCATGCAATATGAATTCCAATTTGCATGTTAATTATTTTGAAGGAAGACTGGCAGAGTTCCTTGGTAAAAGTCACTTTCATTATACTTCTAAAATGCTGATTTCCTCCCATTTCTCATTTTCATACCTGGAATCATTCTTCTCTTTGAATGCACAATGACAAAATATATCTGTCAAATATTTTAATTTAGTCCTTCAGGCAACATCTTTTAAGCCCCAATATAAGTCAGGCACAAAGGAAACATTCCAGGGAAACCAGACATATTCTCCCCCACCCCCACAAAAAGTTTACAGTTTATAAGATTTGACAAATCCAAGCAAAGAAATTTAAAAAGATGTTTGTGGTTGTTTTTTTAATGTGTTAAATAGAACATAAAATTCCCTAAAACAGTCCATCCTTCTCAACATAAAATACTTTGCCATGTCTCAGGGACTTGTGAGTGTAAGGTGCCTTACATATGCCCAGTTTGGCATTATCCAATTATTTTCTTTAGGAAACTAAGGTATAATTCCAGCCGCTAAGACAAAATAGTGTCCAACTGACAACTCATTAAAGCAAGTAATTCTGGCCTCAACTCTCTACTCCTTTAATAGGATGAGTGATTTCTATTTATTTTGCTAGGTTGTTGAGAAAAATTAATAAGGTATTTAATTCCTTCAAAGAACTAGACAAAAACTAATCGCAGACAACTATATTTTCCTCCTGAGAGAATTCTATTGACAGACTATGGAACTTCACTCAGTATTAATGAGAATGACACAAAGCTTGGGTGGGTTTTTTGCAAACTGAATTATGATTAAATTTTGCAAGTATAAAATATCTAAAAACTAACTCTTCAAATATTCTTTTTAACCAGAAAGATGTTTCATTAAGCCTCAATCTACTCAGTGGCAACATATATTTGAAAAAATAGTTGAATTCTTATACTTGATCTCATCCTTCTTTTCAGTTTATGTCAAAATGTTGGTTTCTACCATCATAAGGGACCTCCTTCAAGCGGAGCTTCCTAGCTACTGAGCAGGAGGCTCTCGGTTGCATTGAAATGAGAAATTTCCCCAACTCTAGGTACACTAGGCCATGCAATTTCACACACAGAGCTAGGAATTGTAGTTAAATATGAGTAGGTGACAATCATCTGAATCATACCGAAGCAGAATGATGAAAGGAAAGAGAACAGATGACTTGAAGGTAAAAGACCTGGAATGTAGTAATTTATTCATTTTTTGTCAACATATTTTTATGTAATACATTTGTGTACTTTGATATCAAAACTATGGAAGGCACAAAAATATTTAGTATATAGGCCAGTATTTAAGCCAAAAAAAATGTTTTTGACAATAAATACTATTGCATTGACATGTGATATCAACAAGGGGATCACATGTCATATGTGAGTAGGGCCCAGAAACAATTGAAATTTTCATAAGCAAAGATGAGGAGGGTGACCAAGTTCTGACGAGAGATGACACTAACAAGGTACCAGGGTGGAAAGTGATGCAGAAAAGAGATCAAATTTGCTGTTGCAAAGAGTAGACAGATTTTTGCCCCTTGAATTCTAAGCTAAGGAATTTTAACATTGTTGGGTAGCTGATTATTGGATGTCTATTAAAATTTGTCTGCCACAGAGATAAAGATGGGGAAAAGGCGGCCTAATTGAAAAGGGCATTTCGAGGAGATTCAGGCGGTAATAAGTGCCTGATACTTTGGGGCAGAAGAAGGCTGCTCTAGTATAGCATTAAGAAGTGTTATCCTCTGAACTATGATGAGGCATTCTGAGTTATTTGCCCACTTAAAAACAACAACACAAACACCCTCCTTCATGCCACATCCCTCTTCAGCTGCCATCTTTTTCTGTTCCTCTTCCTATAAAATATAAAAGAGTTGTCTATATCCATTGACTCCAATTCCTTTCCCTTCCATTCTCTCTTGAATTCTTTCCAACTCAGCTTTTCCTCCCATTACTCTAATTAGTCTTTTCTCAGATTTACCCTCATTGGTTTCTAAATCCAATGATCCACTGTTAGTCCTCATCTTACTTGATCCATGTACAACATTTGAGTGTGTTGGCCATTCCATCCTCCTTGAAATACTATTTTCCCTTGATTTTCAGGGAACTATAATCTGCTAATTCTCTCCTATCTCAGAGGCCACTTTTCTTAGTCTCTAGATGAATCT